GGGGGACCAGGAGGACCAGGTGGACCAGGAGGGCCTGTGGGACCATCTTCACCATCTCTGCCTGGGGGGCCTGGTGGACCCTGTTATGTAAAAAGTGAACAAGGTCATGGTTAGACAGGCTCTGTAGAAACCTAAGAATTATATTTGGTGGGATCAGTTGTTTGGCTCTTTCGTGTGAAAGTAGGGTGGAAATTGAATATACTATATTTGTCATTGATTGAAATTCACTTATGAGTCTATTTTACAAAGAGACTTAGTAACTCTCAAGACATCACAAGGTAGTTTTTCTAAAGAACTGTCTCAGCCATTGAATATTAATTCATACTGAAGCTCCAGTATTCAAATGTAGAAATTAGAGCCAAAATGTATGGTTACATGCGCTGCATATGTTGAACAGTGCACAAGGATTTACTTTGAATTTTTATTCCTGATCTCTGACTGTGATGAACTTATTCAATTGTTTTGGTATGTTACGGTGAATGGATGAATTGATATGACAGTTAATAAAGTCACTTTATCATAGGATAGAAAAATCCTGTAGATTTCCTACCATTAATTACCTTGTGATGTTAAAATAATTAGCTGATATAATTCTACTTACAATAAATTGTTTGAATGTAATACATGTAAGTCTCCACTTCCCTAATAGATATAAGATGTAGGTATTTATATATTGGCAAAAGTGTTATATAATGCAAAACCACATAGTTATAAATGTTGAATAAGTATAGCAAGGAGATTTTACAATGCCACAAACAAAATGTAAGCCTGACTTGTACATGTATGAATATGAGCAGAGGAACATGTTACTGACTACTTGTTCACTATTATTCCCAAGCTACCTAAGGGATCTTACTTCAAAAGCAAACCAAATATATTAAAAAGAGAACTGTGGTGGTAGGTAGATACATTTTCATTATGCATGTGTTGGATGGGTCAATTACAAACAAAGCAGACCGTGCAAAGAATATGACTGTAACGGTTTTGCTTTTTTAAGGGATAATTTTGACCTAAAACAAATATCGATTATATATAATAATGCTCATTCACCTCTTCTGAAGTGTATTATCCGTTTAAAGGGGTATACAATTATCCGAATATATAATAGTCTTATAGATTGCCAGTTCCTGTAGTTTCTAATACATAGTTATTCAAACATGGGCCAAAGCCCTTTATAGTTCAAACATTACACACCCTTTCTCCACGTGGTCCTCTATCTCCAGCTGGGCCCTACAAGAAAGATACAAACAGCACAATAATAAATGTCTAAGAAGTAATTTTCAGTGAATGAGCAAATCATTCTTGATAATAATTAGTTGATAAGACTGATCTAACTACAATGTTATTAGATAGTACATAAAAAATTGGCACAATGCAATAGATAAAAGTATATTGTTTTTTATTATAATTATACATAATTTTTTCAACTGGGGACTGGAAACCACATAGTCTCTGGCCATTAAGTTAATACTATGCATAGCATTTTGAGTAAGATGAAAACTGTAGATGAAATGACCATTTTGTTACATTTTTAACAGCACATTTATATAGTCAAAGCCCTTTAAAATAAGCTTTTTTACTACCTACAATTAACATAATTTGCCTTCCATCTCCAGAATAAAATAAGTCTTTTTTTCTTTTGTATGTAAATCACCAGTTTGTATCACATAGATGTAATTACAGATGATTCTGGAAGATAATAAAACTTTGTTATCTTAAACATCAAAGCTCCTTTATTTTATGCTTTAGCTAATGCATATTCATGTGAGCAAAATCTGGGTAAAGTATTTTCCTTCTATAGTCTACTATAAATTTAGTTAAATTATGTTATCTCTGATAATTTTATATATTTATGAAGAAGTGTTGTACTCTTACCTTTCTTACAGTTTCCTAGAAAAGAATAAATAAAAGATTATTATGAAGAAAATCGTATTTAAAAACAGCTTCAATTTTGTTGTAGTATACAAATATACCTTCACAGTACCTTATATTATACATTTACTATTATCTTAGTTTAATATTTTAAAGTGCAATTTAAAATTTTACCAGTAAGTCAAATAAAAATATGTACCTACAGAACCAAATATATATATTAATACTTATCTGTAATTATGCCTCAAATTCAATTCACGAGCTAAGAATGTGTTCATAGGGCCGGGCGCGGTGGCTCAAGCCTGTAATCCCAGCACTTTGGGAGGCCGAGGCGAGTGGATCACGAGGTCAACAGATCGAGACCATCCTGGTTAACATGGTGAAACCCCGTCTCTACTAAAAATACAAAAAATTAGCTGGGCATGGTGGCACGTGCCTGTAATCCCAGCTACTCGGGAGGCTGAGGCAGGAGAATTGCCTGAACCCGGGAGGCGGAGGTTGCGGTGAGCCGAGATCGCGTCATTGCACTGCACTCCAGCCTGGGTAACAAGAGCAAAACTCCGTCTCAAAAAAAAAAAAAAAAAAAAAAGAATGTGTTCATAATAAATGCTTTTGCAAATGATTCCAAAGGAGTGAAAAGATTCTCTAGCTCACTGAATTCTTCTGCTTCACAGTAGGTGATCCTAAAAGTTAAGCTTCTATTGGATTATTTACTCTATATTTCTTAGGAGTATTTTATAAAGCTAGCCTTATTCAGTAGTCCCACCCATTTTGGAAAATAGGGTGGGTACTTTCTAAGGCAGCCAGAAAGTTTTTGACTATCATAATTCTTCACAATTTTCTTGGGAACTCAGGTTGGTCAATTTTAATGTAACTTCATCTCTTCTAAGAGAAGACATCACTGTAGCCAAGGGAATCAAAGTATCTTTTTTAAATTCCAAAAACAATTTTACTCACCTCTTGTAAAGCTGTAGAAAAAAAAAGTAGAAATTATTATTAGTATCACTTCAAGGATCAATAGCAATAATTAACAAATAGAGACACATGTTAATAAAATGGAGTTACCTAAAGGACAAATTATATTTTTTATTAAGAATATTTTGATGACTTGGAAATTATGCAGTCAAATGTATGGCAGGGATCAGCAGGGTGATGTGTTTGCAATATTAATATGTAAATATATTTTGAATTAAATTGTTAATTATTTACTATTTTATAAATGCTGTGAAATATTAATGTGTCTGAAGGATATTTTGAATGCTTAGCAATTAAGCTGGTAATGTGCGCAGATGAATCACTGAGTATAAGACAAGATTAGTAGATTAATGAAGAAATAATTTATGGTTTAATTCGTTTTTAATAGCTACATATCTTTAAAAAAAGGTAAAATTTAGGAAAGTATGTTACCTTAAAATTCTATATTGAATTTGTTTTTTATGAAACATTGAAATGGACTTAATTTTTTTTAAAACATTGAAGTTACCTAGTACTTCACTGACTTTGTACCATTCTTAATATCCTTTTTCAAAAGGTCTAAATTGCACATTATTAACTATGAAAATGAATTAACTCGGACATCTGAATTTTGCTTTAAATTAGTTCACCTAAATTAGATAAGGTCATTTTACCAATATGTATCATTTTTGTCCCTAACAAAGAGCTTTGTATACGGTGGATTAAAGATCTTAAAAAATAATAGAAAAAATAAACGAAAGTAATATCCCCCTTTTTGCCATAATTGCTATGAGTCCTTAACGAGTGAATTCCTCTCCTACAGTATAAAAATTATAGTTTAATACAGGATACAAGTGTGGCCAAGCTTGCAATAGGATGAATCACCCCTAAAAATTGCTTTCATTAGGTGGCCAAAAAGTGCGTTATTTGAAGTGAGAACATCTGTTTCAACAGTTACAATTCAGGAGGGTGGACCACATCCAGCACTGACATTTAAGGCAATTTATGAGAATTACTGTTAAATTACAAGAATGATAAGTTTACTTCATTGTGTCCATCGGTAGGAAGAATAATCATGCCTGACTTGATTAATGGAAGTCCTTATGATTTTGGAAATTTGCCTTTTAATTACACAGACGTGGACCATTTTGAAGAATGCGTGTTTGATAACATTTATTTGAGACTGTGGTTGGCTGTTGATCAGAAGGTAAGTTGCCTTTGTAGTACCTTCAAATTTCCCTAAGTCTGCTTTCATTTTAATCTCTAGGAGTCAACACTCTTTCCTCCCACTCTTAGCTCTCATATGAGCTCGATAATGTGAATCTGTTCACTGGTTCACTGCAATTACTCCTTAGTGTCCAGTGTGTACACTAAAAGTGAATGAAAGGGGAACCCCCGCCCCCCCCCCCACAAATGCATTAGTAATTATGCGGTGGTGGACACCGTGCTATGTGGGAGGAGCAACTTTTTGGAGTACTGGGTGTGGTCAGACTCCACCATCCCCCATCTAGTCAATATCTTTGTCTAGTACTTTGGCAGCCATTTTCAAGATGAAAACGGAGTGATCTTCTTCATTCTATCATGACATGAAAGTCTGGCCATAAAACCTAGAGCTGGAAAGTGGCCTTGGGGTCCCTTTAATCTCTGTCTCACATTTTAGAAAAGGCCGTTTGACGTGCCCATGGTCACGCGACAAATTGGCGTCAGAGTTATGGGAAGAACCCCGGTCTTTTGAGTCTCATGTCAATGTTGATATTTCTCAACTTGCTGCGTTCATGATGTTTGATTATCAGTGGCAATATGTCAAAGGGATAATTCTCAGGCTTAACAAAAGTTAGAGAGGATTTTAGTTTAAAAATGTTATTATTTCCATAACCAGAAAGTGAATTGAGACACTAATATTACTTTTCAGAATGTATCTATTCCAAGTAGCATCTATTCTCCTTTCCAGGGTTCACTGACTAGCCACTGGGGAAAGGCTCCAGCCAGAAACGTTGATCATTAATTTGTATAAACCCGTAGAAGCTTTAATTGGGATTCCATTTGCTTCAGGCCTGGTCCCCTGTACTTTCATTTTCCTTCCTCCAGAGGGCGCCTAATAACCATCATCATCATCCTCGTCGTCCTCCTTCTCTTCCTCCTCCTCCTCCTCCTCCTCCTCCTCCTCCTCCTCCTCCTCCTCCTCCTCCTCCTCCTCCTCCAGACAAGCCCTTATAATGCCCAGAAGATAAAAGCTCTTAGGAGGTGAGTTTTACATTACGTATTTGAAGGGTTTTCTAATGCAGGCCTCAAGTTTTACAAGGTGGACATCAGTGCGTTTATGGGGCCTGTGGGGTGGAGGCCCTTGAGTTCCTCCACCACACTGGCTGTTAATAGCTCATCCTTCTGCTTCCTTTGGGGGTTACTAAGCTGAGGATACAGATGGGTTAACTGTCTCACTCTGAACTTAGGGTAAAAGCTCCCTAACTCTTGGCGGTCTTTTATATTTTCATTTTTAAAAGTAATTTCCATGTTTCTTATCAATTTCGGCGTTTTTCCTCATGCGGGAGAGCCTGCCCTCCAAGTGTACCTGATATTCAGGTTACAGGTTTTCCTTTCCAGAGCAGGGTGCCCTTCCATCTAACCTCTCTCCCCGATCTCCCACAAACAAGCTGAAGGCACTTACATTGGCATGTTGCTAGGCACGAGGTTACTGCAAGCAGCAACAAAGTCCGCGTATCCACAAAGCTGAGCATGTCTAGCACTTAGACATGCAGACTCCTTGTGTCGCAGAGCCCCTGGGTCACCGGCGGAGGTATCACCTGGCGGGCGCGGGCATGCAGTCGTGGCCAGTACCTCCAACTTAGCCGAAACCTCCTGCTGCCGTGGTGCTAAAATAATAAAGCCCGGATCTGCCCTATTTATACGGCTAAAGTTTCCCTGGCCAGAGGGTGCCTCCAAAAGGGCCTCCACCAATGGGAGGGCTGGGGCTGGGGGCCCGGGCAGCCACAGCTGGGAGGAGACTGCGGGGGCGCAGAGGAGGGAGAGATCGGGGGAGGGACGTGGCCACGGGGCTGGCTTCTTAAATTGGTTCCATTCTTTTTGAGGACGTGGACACTTTTGAGGCTTTCAAGGGGAAATTCTGACTCGCTGTCTGCATACCTCCGCCCTCCCTATCCTCCCGCCCTCCCCTGCCCTTTCCAAGTTTGGAAACGCTATGGGACACGTCGGAGAGCTCTGCAGCCCGAGGTGGGCAGAGTTTGCAGATCTCCGGTCAGAGAAGCAGCTAGAGAGGGATCGAGAGCCCAGCGATCAAAGCAGGAGCTGTCCAGTCCTGCCTCACCTGTGCCCTGTAGGCCACCTGTAGGATGGAGGGGTCCAGCGGGCGCGGAGGGGGCAGGGAAGGAGGGAGGGCAGACTCGACTGAGTGGCGCAGCCGGAGCAGGCCTCCCCGCCCCTCCACCCCTGCACCCCGCCCCCGGCCCCGTCCAGCTTTTCTCCAGTTTTGGGGCTCTGTGAGCCCACTGTTTCAGCCGTGATGCACTCTCTTTCTCTTATGACTTCGGCAAAGAGAGGTCTTGTCTGTGGAGGGCTGGGCTACAGTTGGAGGACGCCTTTTGTTGGCACATGGGCTGGGCAGCAGGCGCTCCGGGCTGGGCAGCAGGCGCTCCGGGCTGCTCGGCACCTGGCTACAGGGAGGATAGGTTTTGCAAACTCTAGACTGGACCAAGTCGCCTGGGAAGGTCCTTCGACCTCCTAGGTTGCCTTTGCTGAGGCTAATTCCAAAAAGGGTTTATTGGGAGGTTATCTGGCATTCCGAAATACTGCAACCGACCTGGAGACTGAGAACTTCTTTCTCAGTCTCTCCTTTCTGAGGCTGCGGTAGGGGATCTTTCATGATTTCCAGTCTCCCCTCCTCTTCTCCACGGGCTCCTTGTCTGGATTTACCAGCTCTATCCTGAGCCTGGACCCTTATACCTTCCTGTGAGCCCTGGATCCCCCTTGACCTTGCTACCTACTCTCTGTCCCATCTCTTACAGCCACACCCAAGCACCTCCTGACTTCATCCTAACTCCTCTCTTCACCTAGGAGAAAACGCCTAGCACATCCAGAGAGCCTTCTAATTCGAGCTTGGGGTCTTCGTAGTCTTCGCTGGTAACACCCCAAGCAGTGCCCCACCAAAGTGGATGTTAACTCTCTCCCTAACACCCAACATCCCTCCCTGCTGATGTGGCAGGGTTTGAAGCAGGCAGTCGTCAGCATTTGGTGGGAGGCCCTGGACCTAGAAAGAAACAATCAAAGTGGAGAAAACTAAACAGGAATCTTTCTTTCTTAAAGTGAGAAACAGATTTCAATTACAGCTGTTTTTACATATGTCTTGGAGGAAAATAGTTGATTAGGCGTTTGTTTTAAAGGAGGGATTTTTTAATGCTCACAGTTAGATCTCTGTTAAATAATTTTGTGACTCCAAATAAGGAGCAGCTTTTCCTGGGGATGGGGGTGGGACTGTTACTGCCTCCATCCAACCTTTCACTCCCTACTAGGGAGAGGAGGAGCTGGTACCTTGACCCTGAGGTGGGAGGCCAAAGGTCCTGTGTCCTTTTCTAAAGCATTCCAGGCCCTAGGTTTGAAAGGCCTTATCTGTGTGTGTGTGTGTGTGTGTGTGTGTGTGTGTGTGTGTGAGACCTCTCCCCTACTCGGCCCTCAGTGAGGTAGCAACAGCCTAGAGAGAGTGCTGCTCTATCCCAGAAGTCATCACAAAGGGGGCATCTTTAGGTCAGTTCTGTCTCTAAGAAACAGAAATGAGTGGGCTGTTTCCTTGAGAAACTTTTTCCCTTTCTTCCCCCCACCTCCCTCCCCCTTTTTTGCTTTGCCTTAAGGAATAATTTCTGCAGGAGTTAACTCTATCAGCAACTTCTGTAAATAAAAGGGACAGAATATTCTAAAGCCGGTTACTCTTTCTAAACATAAAAAAAGTTAATGAAAGTAAAAGTGGATAACAAAAAACTGTAATGAACTCTCCTCGGAGATAACCTTGGATGATTTTTGAAGTAATTAGGAGTGAAAGAATTTGAAAGGGTGTCTGGTCAGTCCTAGAAGGGGGTTAACAAAGGAAGAATCCACATTCAGTTTTTTTTTCTAACTAGGAAACAATGTTTGAAATTTTCTAAGTTCTAGCAACAACAACAAAAGACCTGAAGTTTAATTGTGTATTTCAAGAACATTTTTACCCTTTCCCTGAAATATCGCCATTACAGAACTAAGAAAAAACTTATAGTGAAAATCATTTTTATCAGGAAAGAAAAACTTTAGTGCTACATCATAACACCTTTTTTTTTCTGCATTTCAGAACAATGAGCAATAATTTCTAAGAATTATTGTTACGACTCTGCTGAATTGCCTTTGTAGGGCATACGTGTACATTTGTCCTGTGTTGCTGAGCGTTAGAGACTAATTCTGAGCAAAATGGCTCAGGGTCATAATGCATCAGATTTATGAAAGAAACCCTTCAAATACCCTTCAGTGAGGTTATCTGATAAAGCTTCTGGAGTCAAGTTGGCTCAATCACTGGAATTGCAATAGATACCCAAGATTTTAAACATTTCATTCTAGGTTTTGTTGTGGCCAAAATAGTTTAAAATGTAGAATGTTTTTAGATGCGTGATTATAATTTCTCTTTTAGCTAAAAAAGAAAAATCCTCGGCAAGTTTTTGAGAACCAGCACACATCTATAAACTTAGAGAAAAAACGCCTCTGCTAAAGGCAGCAGAGTGAACTGATAACTTGAAAAGCATTCTTGGAAACTGATGCAAATACCAAATGCCGCTGGGCTCCCTCCCTGCTGATGTGGCAGAGTTTGCAGCAGGCAGTCGTCAGCATTTGGTGGGAAGCCCTGGACCTAGAAAGAAACAATGAAAGTGGAGAAAACTAAACAGGAATCTTTCTTTCTTAGAGTGAGAAACAGGTTTCAATTACAGCTGTTTTTACATATGTATTGGGGGAAAATAGTTGATTAGGCGTTTGATTTAAATGAGGCATTCTTTAATACTCACAGTTAGATCTCTGTTAAATATTTTTGTGACTCCAAATAATGAGCAGCTTTTTCTGGGGTTGTGGGAGGGACTGGTAGAGCTGCAAGGGCTGACCCAGAACCTGAACTGAGCACCCTGGTGAGGGCCCTGATGGTTCCTGAGTGGGGAGCGGGGAGAGGAAGGAAGGAGGGAGGAGAAAATGAGGAGAAAAAACAAGTAAGGAGTGGAGTGGGGTCAAGACTGAGAGTAGAGGGATGGAAGAAGGGGGGCAGAGGAGACTAATGATTCCTACAACTTTGCTGCTAGATGGTTAATACCTGGGTCCCTATTCCCAAATGATTTTCTATGAAAGAAAAGATAATTCCTTTAGCTTCCTACAACCCACTGATTACAAACTGGGCCATATGTTTACATACGGCAAAAAAATGGTTGAGAGTCTGGCTAATATGGAAATGCAGAACAGCCTGACAAGGCGCTAATGTCTTAACCTTATACTTCTTTCTTTGATCAAATTAAACATCTAACTGACATCTTCTTTCAAACATTCATTGAGGATCCACTCTGTGAAAATACCATGCTATCTCATTCTAGCAGTTCTAGTTGACTTGGCTGCCAAGCAATTGCTAAGAAGGTATTTGCTGATAATGTGGTAGCTGAAAAGAGTTAAAGGCTGATATATATATATATATATATATATATATGTATAATATGTTTATATATAAATATATATTATATATATTGAATATATAGAAAATAAATACATGTATGTATATGTATATATCTGTGTGTGTATATATATGTGTGTGTGTATGTATATATATGTACATATACATACACACACAGATATATATATACACACATGTATTTATTTTTTAGAAGATCTCACTTTATCACCCAGGCTTGAGTGCAGTGATGCAATCTGGGTTCACTGCAGCCTCGACCTCCTGGGTTGATGTGATCCTACTGCCCCAGCCTCCTGAGTGGCTGGGACTATAAGTGCATGCCATCATGCCAGGCTAATTTTTTGGTATTCTTTTAGAGATGGGGTTTTGTCATGTTGCCCGGGGTGGTCTCAAACTCCTGAGATCAAGCAATCCACCTGTCTCTGCCTTGTAAAATGCTATGATTACAGTTGTGAGCCACTGTGCCCAGCAAGGGGTAATTTCTTTCTGTGACATTTGTTTGAAAAGCATAGTGATTCCTTCTCTCTCATATCAATTAGGATACTCAGTT